TTTTAATCTTTTTAACTTTCTCACTGAACTTAATACATTGAGTTTTTTCGTCACTCGACTGTTAAATAATTAACGGCATTAAAATGAGTTGTTATATAGATGCAAAACGACGTCATATTAGTGAAAATTTTGTGTTTTTAAAACAATATCATTTTTAACGTCGGAGTGACCAGAGTAGGAGAGAGAATAAAAGTTATGTGAAAAAAATTTAATATATTAAGTTAAGTGAGAAAATTGAAAACTTTTAAAATATGTTAGAGTGTAGGGATTTGTCATTAATTTCCTTTTGGCTGCATTGTAGATTATGGTATGTAGGTAAGGTAAAATTGGAACGCTATGCATGTCTCAACTTATTTGTGTAAAATTAGATACAAGAACAAACAATTCACAAAGACTCCTTCATGCTTCCTTTTTACATTAGTTATCGTGAATGATCAGTTAAACAAGTATATAAATATTTTATCTTGATGTACTGTAATTGTTCTAAAAATAATAAGGATATATTATAGTTTCCTGATCCGATTATCGGTTAAATAATCTATTTTTATTGTGATAAAAGAAAGGCGTAGGTTCCATAGCCTCTGAGATTTACAGGTTCTACCCTAGGTTGTCTTCTTCCATAGCATATGGGTTCTGACAAATGCAGAATCCCATGGAATTCATGAGCAATTTCGCAGAATAATTCTTTTCCAAAATCAAAGCCTTTTTTCAAGAGTAAATTTGATATAGACCTCACCCTAACTAATCATCTAATCTCGTAGCCTCTTTAATCTGTCAGTAATTTTGATCTTTATGAAATATCAATTCTTCCTTCTTTTCTGTTTTATCTTTAATTTGGGAGTCCAAAAGTTCATTGCTGCTGCCTCTGACCCGTACAACTTATTACGCCAATGAACCACCAAGGGCAAGAAGTGGACAAATTGTTTTTTCCTTTTAAATTTTTGGGTTAAATCATATGTTATCCCTAAGTCTGTCCACTCCGAAGAAACTATTTTATCAGTTTGCCCCATATAATTAACATTAGTCCACTCTTTTTTCTTAGTACAAAAGACAAAACTATGCGAGCTACAGTATTAAACACCCGATGCCTCTGACGTCCCCCTCTAATAGCCAAGTTGTTCAGGCATGATTTAAGCTCTTCCTCTTGGACTATTGCCAAGTTGGCAAGTTTATATGCGCACTTGTTTCCCTCCCTCCAGATGTGTCTAGTTTCGTTAATCCAACCTTCACTTATCAGTACCTTGTAGTCTCTAACCAACACGTCTTCATGCCGGTCATACGTTAGTTATCCGTTTAGGGTTTCCATCGCCTACTTCGAGTACATTTCTACAATAAGATTCGTGATATTCAGGGACTTGGGCAGGAGCATCCCTTGGCGAGCTCCCAATAACTCCGCGGCCTCGTAACTTGTCGTTCATATCCGAAGCATAAAGTCCAAGATCCATTTTCATCTCAGATCACGCCAACCGTTGAAGTTAAACCTGTTGTTGCTTTCCCTGCAGCATCTATATTAAGAATCCAAAAGCCTTATGGTGGTTTCGTCCATCTAACCCAGAGTTTCAAATCACATTCCGAAAACGTGATTTTGTCCGCGAAATAGCGGTTTCGCCGCCGTCCGAGTTACCTGCTACACCCGCAATAGTGCCCAGTAGTATCCGCGACGACCGCAATCATGATAAATCCGAAATGACCGAAAACGTGACCGCAATCGCGATTTAAAACCCTGATATAACCCAATACGGTATTTTTATCACTCGTCTGTGCAAGGACGTAACAGCTAGACTAATGTCCTTAACAAGGGAAAGAGCATTTATTTTTTTAGGTATCTCTTTAGTCAAACCGATAAGTATTCATTTAAATACCAAAATATAATAAGGTAAAATTTTGGGTCGGAAATTTTTTTAGACAATGCAATGAGAAAAAAGAATGATTCAAATAGATTAATCTATTTTCTCAATTAAGGTGTTTGCTAGGATGTAAGTAGGAAGATGTGAAGGGCATTTTACGTCTTGAAAAGAAGCGTACATAGAGGACATAATATTTTTAGAGGAAAACAAATGAAAGATACGATATCTTCTACATATTATATATAATTCAACAAACTATACAATTAAAATATCTTCTAGAATCAATCAAATAAACCAAACATTTTCCTACCTACACTATAACAAACATTCTTAATTGAAAAAGATAACATTTTCATCCCTTATCTAAGCCGATCTTTTTTCTTCACTGTATTATCTAAAAATGTTTACCTTAACCGATTTCGCCATTAATCAGTTTCTAGTCAAAGTGTGTGTCTCTGATAATTCCGAGACTATGATTATGTTTTGTTTTATTTACTTATGCGATGCTCGGAGACTGTAAACGCCGAGCGTATAAACATGGGATCGAAATGACAGATGAGAGCACATTAACCAAAGCCCACATTCAAAATCATCAATTTCATTTATTTGTCATTTCATTGTTAAAATGTAATTTGAATTTATGACATTTTTAAAATATAATAATAATAATAATAATGACATTAATTAAATTCAACTATAATTAGCATTTATGTAAATTAAGGATAACATACATTATAATTAAACAGTTTAAATATCAATTAATCAAAAAGTCTTTCAAATATTAAAATGATAATAAAGTTAACTTCATGATCTAAAATATCACTTAGATCTAATTCTAATATAAAAAGTAGGTTTGTAAAGAAATCAAACGAATGTGAACGAGGTTATGTACATTCATGTTCGTTCGTTAACTTTAACCGAACAAATGAACGAACATGAACAACTAAGTGATCGAATTTCTCATTCATTAAGAAATTTAGCATGTTCATATTCGTTCGTTGAAATGCTAAACGAACACAAATGAACGAACATAACGAACACCACGAACGAACGCAAACGAACATAAAGGAATGAGCATAAAATTAATTGGGTTTATATTCGAGATGAGTTTTTTATTTTTCAAATGATTTTAGGATTTATATTTTGTTTAATTGATTTGAGTACTTTTTATTTCCGTTTAAAATTAATTGAGTTTAAAAACATTCACGAATATAAATAAACAAACATAAACGAATATAAATGAACGAACATAAACGAACAGATTATCGAACATTAGTGAACAAACGAGCCTCTTGTTTGTGTTTGTTCATTTAACCAAACGAACTAAAATCTTGTTCATGTTCGTTCGTTTAATAAATAAATGAACATAAATGAACTTCTCGCCGAACGGTTCGTTAAACGCTTCTGTTCATTTACATGCCTAATAAGAAGTTTTCCATTTTCTATTTTGTTCTATAGCGTCCTTACTCAAAATATAAAATTATATTTATCTAAACTACAATTTTTAAAAATTATACAATTTGATTTTTTTATAATTTAAAAAAAAAAATCCAACTTTCATTTTTTCACATAAAAAGTACATGCTAAGTTTTGTTTGGTTTTATCTTATAAAATATTTTTATTTTAAAATAATTTTTGAATTAACTTTATTTGATAGGAATATAAAATAAATTTAGAATGTAGTTCCATAAGAATAATATATTTTTTAAATATATCAATTTTTGAAATAAATGAACCTAAGACTATTTTTATAAAAAAATAAGATTCAAAATATTTTATCAATCATAAAAATTAAGTAATTAGGTAATTTGTTTTATTAACTCCAAAAGTAACATTTTCCTAATTGTAGTTTAATTGTTGAACATTTTTGTTTTTACCAAACAACGAGACTTAACTTAGTATTTACATGCTATTACAACTATTTTAGTACTGACATACAAGGGCGAATTCAGAATATGATATTGAAGTAAATATTAAATGTATTAATATTTAAACATTAAAATTAAAAAGAAATAATTGAATTAATTAATATTTAAAATAATAGAAAGCCTAGACTTTAAAAGTTGGGGCTATAGCCCTCCCAATGTGTACATAGCCTGGTCATTGCTAGTGCACTAAAATAAGTGGTACTCATGTTGTTACACTTACCAACTAAATGAGACCTAATTTAGTATGAACATGTTATATTACAAACTATTTTAGTATTCATGTATTAGCATGAATCAACTTATTTCAATAGTTAAAGAAATCGTTGTTATTCATAGATATCACGGTTCGAGCACTAGCGACTACAACAGAGTGGTTGAGTGTGCATTGTCAAATGGTTGAACGTATTTAGTACATATATAATCACCTTAGCTTATTAAAAAAATACCCAAGTACTAAATAAGTAGTTATTCATGTTCTGGGATGGACGAAATATTTTATATGAATTTTTAAATTTTCAAGAAAAGACAAACTTATAACAATTTAGGGAGACAAAAATATATTATGAATAAAAAAAATATTAAAAAAATCTAAAAAATACAATAACCCTTCCGGTGTCTCGAGAAGAGACAAACTTTTCGATAATTTAAATTTTTAGACTAAATGAGTACTACACATGTTATTACACCTATTAACTAAATGTCTCATAAAATTATGTTCTTCAAAGATTGTTGGAGTCTTGCAAAATCATTACTTTTGGAAACTAATTAAGCTCGAGATTGCAGTTAATGAGAAAAACATCTTAAAAAAATCCCTTCCGGTGTCTTAGTTCATAGCCAACTACAACAGGATCCATTGGTTTCGGACAGAACACTTTAAATTAACACTCTCGAATAAAGTAACCTTGTCCCCTAAATATTACAACATTTGCACGTGTTTGTGAATATGTTCTTGACTATTGTCTATGAACCCAAACCCTATAATTTGTTCATTCATTTCACCATAACACACAAATAATTTCCAATTCTCATTCAATACATCACCTTCATTGTAAGTTTGATGGTACCCTAAAACCTTTCCCTTTCATTGTTCTAATATAACCCTAACCCCCCATTATTGTTTTGTCCACTTCCACAAGGCCCCATCGCCATTTCTCTTTCATGAGAGTGAGTGACTCTGAAAATATTAATGAGTGACTCAGCGAGTACACTCTTTTGTTTTTCGGTGTTGCCTGCCACTGCTCTACGAATCCCACGTTCCTGTCTGTCTGCTTTCACCTTCTTTACAGTTCTTGAATTCTCGATTTCTTTCTTCATTATTGTGCTGCTTTGCTGTTTGATCATAAATACGAACTCCGGGTATTTCTTTCTGGTGTTCTCTCCGTTTCTCTGGGCTTAAACCTAAAACAAAACGAAAATTGTTTGATATCAGAGAAAAGAAAAGAAAACTCAAAGATGTCAAGCTCCAACCCTATTTATGCACCAGAACAACTCTGTTACATTCCTTGCAACCTTTGCAACATGATTCTCGCGGTATTTTAACTTTGATCCCTACCCTACCCTATTTTTATTTTTGTTTATAATAAAGGCCTGAACTTCTAGTTTTTATGATTTTCTTTGGGTTTTTTTAAATAGTCTAGGGTGTTCTGGGTAATGAAGTCAGGTCACTATCCTAAGACTTATTTTTCTAATTTGATTGCAGAAAAGTCATAAATTCTCTTGATTTTTCTTCTTTTGCAGAACTTATCCTTTGAGAGAAGTTATTAAATATGGATCTTAAATTTATAGCTATAAAAAAAAATGTGTGTGTATATATATTATAATGGATGAAGATGACATATCCTGCATATTTGCTCTGATTACCTCAAACTTTTCCTCATTAAGATACTGCAGGTACCTGCCTTGAGTTCTTCTTCTGCAAAACCCAATTCAAAACCTTCTTTTTTTGGGACGGTCATGGAAAACGAAAGGGACTATCTCCGTTGTCTTCCTCAAAAACCCCATTCTCACGTACTTCACAAGTGCTGACTACCCTGAAAAACGAACCCCCCCCCCAGATTTTGCTACTCCTTCTGCTTTGAAAGTCCAATTTTTTAGTATAATTTATCACCTCTTTTGTTTCCTCTGAAAGATCATGAAACTTTGCATAACCTATAGCTCTTCAGAAACCCTAAATTTTATTAAGCAAATTATGTTTTTTTTATTAAAAAAAAGAAGAAGAAAGAGCTGAAAATTTTTACATGTTTTTTGCAGGTGAATGTTCCATGCAGCAGCTTGTTTGAAACCCTGACAATTCGATGTGGGCAGTGCTCCAATCTGTGTTCAATAAACATGGCCGCTTCCTTTCAATCGAGAGCTGGGAAAGATATTCAGGTTTTCCAAACTTGTTTCTTGCCTTCTTGGATATCTAGTTAGGTTTTCTGGGGTTTCGTCACTTTCTAAGGAAACTTCAGTAAATATTCACAGGGGGTTGAAATCTAGGGTTTTTAATCCTCATTTGATTTTGAAAGCTTCTTTTCCCCCATAGTTCTCGGTGCTGCTGTAATTACCTGCAAATAAAACCTAATTCCTCAAAGCTCTGTTAAGAGCCGGTATATGGGTTGGTTATTTAGGGCAAATTGACATTTTTTAGGGATTCCTTTTCAATCTTAATCTCCATTGAGCCGTCATTTGTAAAAGGATTTGACTTCGATTTTGATTGACATGAATTTTAGGGTTTGTAGGCTTTTAGTCACTACGCTGATCTTTCCCCTTCTTTCTTAAATTTTGTTCCAAATTTCAAAGATTCAGCTTTTATATCCCTCGAAGCTTTCTTCTTCTTATTTATTTTTTAAGTTTTCTAAAAGAAACACCTACTTTTTTTTATCATTGATTTAGTCCCTAATAAATATCGGACCCACAATCTAAAAGAAAAGAGAGATGTTAACCGAAAGATTTTAGCTACTTGCTCTAGAGATAATTTACCTAAAACTGAAGTTTTTACTTTTTATTTAAACATAAATGACTGTATGTATATGAAAATACGTAATAATCTATAAGTTGGTATATGAAGGCAAACCCTTGGCAATGTATAAAAAGAGAGGATTTAGTTAAGCCCAATGAAGGAAAAATCTTTTTACTCTCTGGAACTTACTATATCCAGTAATAAGCCAGGGATTAGTTGCTTGGTCAGGTCAATGATATTACCTAACTGATGTTGGTCTGTTGAAAATATTATTGAATGTTTTAGGTGCCTAAGTATACCTCGTCAGAGTATAGAATTGAGTTAAGCTCCTCTTCCAGAGTCAAGACGAAGCTTCCAAAGCGACCAACAACAACCGTTCAACAAAGGGTTGTGAATCGACGTGAGTATCAGATCTTTTAACCTACATTTTTCGTATAACTTTCTCTCTTTATCTACATTTCATGGACTGTTTCATTTTGCAGCTCCTGAAAAGAGGCATAGAGCACCTTCGTTGTACAATCAGTTCATCAAGTAATTACAATAAAGTGACTGTAATTTGATCATTGATAACTATTTTTATACTTTTTTTTTAAATATGGGGTTTGTTTTGTGAAGAGAGGAGATTCAAAGGATCAAGATGAACAATCCTGATATCAGCCACAGGGAAGCATTTAGCACTGCTGCCAAGAACTTAAGCTTAACATTAATAAAATAATGTCAGATATTTAATTGCTAGCAATCTGACAGACTTTGTATATGTTGCCACAGTGGGCACGATTCCCTCACATTGATTTTGGACTCATGTTGGAGACTGATGATCAACCCAAGCTGAATGATGCAAGTGTTTGATTTCATTTGCAAGCGTATATTGTGTTTTCAGCTTCGGGTTTTGTTTGTGCTGATGATTCGCCATTTTTTTGCTTCTTTCTTTTCAATGATTCTGTGCAGGCCTCGACCGAGCATTTCCAGCAACTGCTCAAGTAAAAATGGGTATTTCGTTTTCGAAGATGATTGCAGTGACATATGTGTTTCTCTATCTGTTTGTGTGTTGGTTGGATGTGAAAGGATTTTATTATATTTGAAGGCCGAATGAACTTATATTTGCTTGTTTTTATTAGGGCTTGAACAGCTTGCTTTTATCCCCAGTAATTCTGTGTAATGTTATGTAACGGTTGAAGTTATGAAATATTGACTTTGCAAAGAAAACCTTTTCACCGTAAAGGTATTAAATTCAAGCAACTGAATCTTTAAAGTGATGTACGTTATTAATAAAAATGATTCTAAATATATACTATTATTCTCCGAAACTATTAAAAAAGAACTACACTCGAAACGAAAGTACCACCAGATAATAACAATAAATCTCAAAATTAAACTCAGCAGCAAATTATGGAACAGACAATCCAATCGTGGAAGAAAGCCCTAAAGGAATAATGAATAAGGTAGACGTGCCCTAACCAAACGATTTTAGTGGTTCAAAATATAATTGTTATTCCTAGATATTTTAGATTGAACACCAACAATGGCAGGATATTTGAATGTTTATTGTCAATTTTTTTTCTAAGCAATAAGAATTTTATTTATTAAAACCTAAAATTGAGCCCTCATTAAAAACTTCCTTAAACTTTTTTTTAAACCCCCTAAATCTAAATTGAGGAAAATAGTACTACTAACTACCACATATAAAGTTAAATATGGATGGACATGGGTCGAGTTGGGTCGGGTTGCAGGCACATCCCAACTGATCCAAAAAATTTATATCCTTCACCAGACTCGCTTCGTGTTTAGGGTAATTTCACTCGACCCGAAACTCGATCCAACTTTTGAGATAAAACCTAACTCCAACTCGCCTTGACCCTAAATAATATAAAATTATTATTATTTTTCCAATAAAATAGATAATTAAAATATATATATATATAAAGAGAGATATTATTGTAATTATCCTTAAATATATAATATATTTTTATATTATTTTTCAAGTTGGGTTGGGTCGAATTTGTCACCCTAAACATGAATTCGACTTGAACCCGATTTCCTTTTAAAACTCCCGATCGGGCCAAAACCCGTCGAATTCGAGTATCGTGCTCATTCCTGATATTAAATAAATGATTGTTATCCCTAGAGTTTTTGAGTTGAACACCAACGACTACAAGGTATTCAAAAGTTCATTGTCAAATTATTGAAAGTCTTTAAAACAAATACTACTATTGTAATCATCTTAAATTAATAAAAAAATATATAATCAGTAGATGTGGATACCCCATAATTATGAAGATAATGATTTTGATAACAATTTATCAAATTATGTCATGAATAATTAAAAAAAAACGAAGCCTAATAGATTCGAACTCTATCGGGATAAACCCATGTACTTTGCAGGCACACCCCTTAACCACTCGGCCAAAACGTCGCTCGTTTAAATATAATATTTTAATTAAACTTGTTTATTTGGTAATATATTTGAGGTAGTTTTGAGGTATTTCTAATTCACTGGTTGAAATTTGTTTGGTTGTAACACCCCAATTTAGGGGTTAAATTTAAGAAATTATAAAGTAGTGGATTTAATTGGTATTTTTGAAAGAAACGATTGATTAAATTGTAAAATTTCAAAGTTGGCAGACCGTTTTAAGAAGTGCAGGAAATTCAGTGGCTAAACTCATAGTTTACCCATTTTTCTTTTGGAATAAATTATAACCACCTCCAGTATGTTTTTTCTGCAGATTATCATTTTCCTCTTCTCCAACAACTCTTCTTCCAACTCCGATCTATTCGTCGTCCGACCTTCGATCGACGAGTCAAAACCACCATCGTGTTCGTTATCGAGCGAGGAACAAAACCCCTTAAACCTTACGTCATGAATCATCGCCGTTCGTCGTTAATTTCAGTCAGAAGTATCGTCGGTAATAACCAGATTTCAGTTGGTTTTTCATCGATTCACGAGGATCCGAGCATTCGTTTACGACACCTCCCGCACCAGTACCATCGTGTTCCTTGCATCATTCCGAGTCCACCGGTGTCATCTTTGGTCTCCGTCGATGGCGGCGCGTGAAGAGGTGAAGCGGTTAAAGCTTTTGATTCGTTGAAATCGAGCTCTCCGCTGTTCAAAAATTTGAACCGAGCTTTGTAAGTATCTCAAAATTGCTTAAAATAATTTTTAGGAATTTTTCCGGGAATTTTCTGACATCAGGGTACTGTTCACGCGCCCCCACGTGCCGCCACTGCGCTTGGGGAAGGCAAAAGTGACCGGTTTGACCGGTTTTGGAATTGTTTTGACCGGTTACAACCCGACCCGACCCGTTGACCCGACCTGACCAGTTGACCGGACCCGACCCGTTGACCGGTGCTGACCAAAGTTGACCAAAACCTTGATGGGCTTTGAACGTGCATTAAACGACCTTTGACTTTGACCGAGTATACCTATCCTAATATTTTTCGACGTTCCAAATCCGATTCCACAGTCTGTTTTTCGAAATTCGAACCCGAAGGCCTCAAAATTACCGGTCAAACCCATTGCCTTTTGATTTTGACCGAAAATTCTAAATTTCTGAAAAGTCATATTTTATGCTTTCGACGTCCTGAATCCGAATCCGAGGTTCGTTTAGCCAAATTCGAACCCAGTAAGCTGTTTTTCACTGATTTATCACCCGATTCGATCCGTTTATCGTAATTAAGCTCCGTTTTTTTATATAATTTATGTTGATATGTATCTGAGGAATTATTGGAAGTTGAATTGAAGATCAAAGGCGTTCGAATGGAATTTTTATGGTCGATTAGTATTACACGTAAATTGATGTAATACTTTACTATCTCTTTATGCTTTATGGAACATGTGAATATTGGTAAATGCATTATTAAGATAGTGTTGGTCTCATTTGTGTAGTTAATTAGGTTCTACACTCGATCTGAATATGGTGAAAGGGTTCAATAATTGATTATGGTTCAGATGATTTTTATAAGAAATTGAGGGATAGTTAGAATTAAATTACATGTTTTGTGTTTAGTGATAAAGAAATCAACCTGGATTTGTAACTTATATTTTATATCATCCAAGATTAAATGTTAAAGGAACTTATATGAGAAATTATGAGAAATTTCGATTAGGTAAAATTACGAAATTACCCCTATGTAAGAAAATGACAAGAATTGTCCCTGGAAGTGGATTAGTAAATCTGAAAAGACATATTGATCTGATAAATTTATTGATGTGCATAAGAAATGTTAGTTTTACTTGAAAATTATGGATAACTGGTTTTTAACCCCAATAGGGTTTATGCAAGATACTAGAAGTCTGTTAAGGAATCATTTCAAGATCAGAGAATGTTCGAGGAAACAACTAACCATAGGATCTTTAAATTATAAGTATGCTCGTTAAGAGTTAATACCGAAATTATCTGGTTAAGAAATTACGAAAATGCCCTTGAAAGGTAAAAATAGCTCGAGTTAACCCTGAATGAGAAAGTTCTTTGAGGATTTGTACTTAACTCAATGAATTACAGATTTAATTGTTAAGATCATGTCTTTGTATAGAAAATTTCTGATAACCTGTTGGTAACTTCTGAGAAGACAATCGATCTGAAAATCTTTGAGTTAAGAATAAATTATCGAGGGTGCTCTTTTGTCAGAATTATTTGAAAGGTCTGGAATAAATGATAAGTTGGAATTAAATAATAAGACAGAATTGAAGGAAAGAATTGAAATACACCAGATCTGTAAAATGACCAGAATACCCCTGTAATGAAAAAGACTCAAGAATATTACCAAGCTCAGGAATGATTGGATATCCTCGAGCTCTGAAAAGAATGGAATGAAACTGGGCACCAGAATGACCAAAATACCCTTATGACCTAAAATTAGTATAAGTGTTGGATTAATTAAGGAATCCAAATAAACATGGATATAATACTGCTCTTAAAAGTTATGGATCACATATTAAGTCGAGCAATCAATGCTAGTGTATATGTCAGTACCTGAAATGTATAGATGTTACTTGAATGTGTGTTCGTCTTCTCAAGTGTGGTTCGATGATAATTTTGAAAGTACTCAGCTCAACTCAAATCTAGGTCGCATTCGATAATAAGAAATGGATATTTGTTAGAAAAATCAACCACGAAGACCAAACCAAATTAAACGAAAGTACAATATATATATGAAATTCAGAAACGTCTGGATATCTAGAAAGCTCTGAAGTAATCGGGATAGACTTGACTGATAAACGAAATGAGTAACCTCAATGACTGAGGATTAAATAGGTGATTTGATGAGTTTGGGAACACTGTTGAACTTACATGATGAATTATCCTTATGGGTCATAAAACATAAATCAAGTACGTATGTATTTCTTGATATCGTTGAAATATGGAAATGAAATAAAGACTATTGGAAGATCTATTCAGCGATGATTACGAAGATGATTTATGGACAAGAATTTTTGGTATTAAAGAGTAAATACTCTAAAAAGGCAGTAAATTGACGGGTCCACATGCTTTAGTTTAGAGAGCTTGTTCAGTTCGAATTGTTCGATAAACCGATCGATTAACATGGATTGTAAATGTTTTAAAGCTTCGTTTCTCATTTATTAGCTCAAATCACTCTGGGTATTCTGGAACGCTTTCTTGATGCACTTGAATCATAGTGGAATTCTAAAGTATCAACTTTAAATGTCTGATTAGATCGGTTAATAATCGATTCTCTCCAATAGGACCTTGTTCTTAGAATCCGATCAAATTGCACGAGCTTCATGTTATCCTTACCGATAATTACAAAATGCCTCTGAAAAATACTTGGATCCTCTAGTGTGTTCCCTATGTACTATATAATTATTTTATCTGTTTTGAAATGAGGTACACTAAAATCTATGGTTACTGTTTTATGATGCACCAACTTACGATGATGGGTTATGGACTATGACTGATAAATGATTATTGGTTTTCACTTTTATATGATAACGATGATTACGGACCTAATGTGACTCTTGGGTAGGCTCACGGGCCCCAAGATTCTCTATTAGGTTGTCTCCCTTTTGCCGTGTGCTTAGGGTAAGTCCTATGGACTTACGGGCCTAAGGATACAGGCCCATAGCATATCCTTAGGTGGCTTCCTTTTTGCTGTGTGCTTAAGGTAAGCCATACGGACGTAGTT